TGCCCTGAGAGGAGTCCAATGGGTTAACTTGGGGCCTATTACCACTGGGGCCCATTACCACTGGGGCCCATTACCACTGGGGCCCATTACCACTGGGCCCATACCACTGGGGTCCATTACCACTGGGGTCCATTACCACTGGGGCCCATTACCACTGGGGTCCATTACCACTGGGGCCCATTACCACTGGGGCCCATTACCACTGGGGTCCATTACCACTGGGGCCCATTACCATGGGGCCCATTAGCACTTATTATTTTCTCCATATAACAAGAAACAATAAAAGAGGCAGTGACCTGTTAACAGTACGGTGACCTGTTAACAGTACGGTGACCTGTTAACAGCACGGTGACCTGTTAACAGCACGGTGACCGTTAACAGTACGGTGACCTGTTAACAGTACGGTGACCTGTTAACAGTACGGTGACCTGTTAACAGTACGGTGACCTGTTAACAGTACGGTGACCGTTAACAGCACGGTGACCTGTTAACAGTATGGTGACCTGTTAACAGTACGGTGACCTGTTAACAGTACGGTGACCTGTTAACAGTACGGTGACCTGTTAACAGTACGGGACCTGTTAACAGTACGGTGACCTGTTAACAGTACGGTGACCTGCTAACAGTACGGTGACCTGTTAACAGTACGTGACCTGTTAACAGCACGGTGACCTGTTAACAGTACGTGACCTGTTAACAGTACGGTGACCTGTTAACAGCGGTGACCTGTTAACAGTACGGTGACCTGTTAACAGTACGGTGACCTGTTAACAGCACGGTGACCTGTTAACAGTACGGTGACCTGTTAACAGCACGGTGACCTGTTAACAGTACGGTGACCTGTTAACAGTACGGTGACCTGTTAACAGTCACGGTGACCTGTTAACAGTACGGTGACCTGTTAACAGCACGGTGACCTGTTAACAGCACGGTGACCTGTTAACAGCACGGTGACCTGCTAACAGTACGGTGACCTGTTAACAGTACGTGACCTGTTAACAGTACGGTGACCTGCTAACAGTACGGTGACCTGTTAACAGTACGGTGACCTGTTAACAGTAAGGTGACCTGTTAACAGTACGGTGACCTGTTAACAGTCACGGTGACCTGATAACAGTACGGTGACCTGTTAACGATGCGGTGACCTGTTAACAGTCACGGTGACCTGTTAACGATGGACCTGTTAACATGCGGTGACTGCTACAGTACGGTGTCCTGCTAACAGCACGGTGACCTGTTAACAGCGCGGTGACCTGCTAACAATGCGGTGACCGAGTGGCGTACGGTGACCTGTTAACAGTATCGGTGACCTGTTAACAGTCGCGTGACCTGTTAACAATGCGGTGACCTGTTAACGAATGGGCGACCTGTTAACGATGCGGTGACTCGTTAACAGTACGGTGACCTGCTAACAGTACGGTGACCTGCTAACAGTACGGTGACCTGTTAACAGTACGGTGACCTGTTAACAGTACGGTGACCTGTTAACAGTGCGGTGACCTGTTAACAGTACGGTGACCTGTTAACAGTACGGTGACCTGTTAACAGTACGGTGACCTGTTAACGGTGCGGTGACCTGTTAACGATGCGGTGACCTGTTAACAGTCTGGTGACCTGTTAACAGTACGGTGACCTGCTAACAGTACGGTGACCTGTTAACAGTACGGTGACCTGTTAACAGTACGGTGACCTGTTAACAATGCGGTGACCTGCTAACAGTACGGTGACCTGCTAACAATGCTGGCCTGCTAACTGCGGGTGACCTGTTAACAGTACGGTGACCTGTTAACGAATGCGGTGACCTGTTAACAGTGCGGTGACCTGTTAACAGTACGGTGACCTGTTAACAGTACGGTGACCTGTTAACAGTACGGTGACCTGTTAACAATCGGTGACCTGTTAACGATGCGGTGACCTGCTAACAATCGGTGACCTGCTAACAGTACGGTGACCTGTTAACAGTACGGTGACCTGTTAACAGTCACGGTGACCTGTTAACAGTCACGGTGACCTGTTAACAGTCACGGTGACCTGTTAACAGTACGGTGACCTGTTAACAGTACGGTGACCTGCTAACAGTATGGTGACCTGCTAACAGTACGGTGACCTGCTAACAGTAGGTGACCTGCTAACAGTACGGTGACCTGTTAACAATGCGGTGACCTGTTAACAGTAGGTGACCTGCTAACAGTACGGTGACCTGTTAACAGTCACGTGACCTGTTAACAGTCACGGTGACCTGTTAACAGTACGGTGACCTGTTAACAGTACGGTGACCTGTTAACGATGCGGTGACCTGTTAACAATGCGGTGACCTGTGCAGTACGGTGACCTGTTAACAGTACGGTGACCTGCTAACAGCACGGTGACCTGTTAACGTCTGATGACCACCTGTTAACAATGCGGTGACCTGTTAACAGTACGGTGACCTGTTAACAGTACGGTGACCTGTTAACAGTACGGTGACCTGTTAACAGTACGGTGACCTGTTAACAGTACGGTGACCTGTTAACAGTACGGTGACCTGTTAACAGTCGGTTGACCTGCTAACAGCCGGTGACCGTTAACGTCACGGTGACCTGTTAACAGTACGGTGACCTGTTAACAGTCACGGTGACCTGCTAACAGTACGGTGACCTGTTAACAGTACGGTGACCTGTTAACAGTACGGTGACCTGTGAACAGCACGGTGACCTGTTAACGAATGCGGTGACCTGTTAACGATGCGGTGACCTGTTAACAGTCACGGTGACCTGTCAACAGTACGGTGACCTGCTAACAGTACGGTGACCTGTTAACAGTCGGTGACCTGTTAACAGTACGGTGACCTGTTAACAATGCGGTGACCTGTTAACAGTACGGTGACCTGTTAACAGTACGGTGACCTGTTAACAGTGCGGTGACCTGTTAACAGTACGGTGACCTGTTAACGAATGGGTGACCTGTAACAGTACGGTGACCTGCTAACAGTACGGTGACCTGTTAACGTGCGGTGACCTGTTAACAGTACGGTGACCTGTTAACAGTACGGTGACCTGTTAACAGTACGGTGACCTGTTAACAGTACGGTGACCTGTTAACATGCGACCTGCTAACAGTACGGTGACCTGCTAACAGTACGGTGACCTGCTAACAATACGGTGACCTGCTAACAGTACGGTGACCTGTTAACAGATACGGTGACCTGTTAACAGTACGGTGACCTGCTAACAGTACGGTGACCTGTTAACGAATGCGGTGACCTGCTAACGTACGGTGACTGTTAACAGTATGGTGACCTGTTAACAGTACGGTGACCTGTTAACAATGCGGCGACCTGTTAACGGTGCGGTGACCTGTTAACAGTCGCGGTGACCTGCTGCTAACAGTCACGGTGACCTGTTAACAGTCACGGTGACCTGCTTAACAGTAGCGGTGACCTGTTAACAGTACGGTGACCTGTTAACAGTACGGTGACCTGTTAACAGTACGGTGACCTGTTAACAGTAGGTGACCTGTTAACAATGCGGTGACCTGTTAACAGTACGGTGACCTGTTAACAGTCACGGTGACCTGTTAACAGTCACGGTGACCTGTTAACAGTCACGGTGACCTGCTAACAGCACGGTGACCTGCTAACAGTACGGTGACCTGCTAACAGTACGGTGACCTGTTAACAATGCGGTGACCTGCTAACAGTACGGTGACCTGTTAACAGTACGGTGACCTGTTAACAGTACGGTGACCTGTGAACAGCACGGTGACCTGTTAACAGTACGGTGACCTGTTAACAGTACGGTGACCTGTTAACAGTACGGTGACCTGTCAACAGTACGGTGACCTGCTAACAGTACGGTGACCTGTTAACAGTACGGTGACCTGTTAACAGTACGGTGACCTGTTAACAATACGGTGACCTGTTAACAGTACGGTGACCTGTTAACAGTACGGTGACCTGTTAACAGTACGGTGACCTGTTAACAGTACGGTGACCTGTTAACAGTACGGTGACCTGTTAACAGTACGGTGACCTGTCAACAGTACGGTGACCTGTCAACAGTACGGTGACCTGTTAACAGTACGGTGACCTGTTAACAGTACGGTACCGTCATCACCTCAGTTAGTCAGCAACAGAGGCAGGAGTCTGTATATTTATGTATAGTTAACGCTTCCCTTTAATCATTTGCATACATCGATACCAACACATACATACATACATACATACATACATACATACATACATACATTACTCTTAACAAACCTACACTAATCTCAAACTAGCAGTAACTTACTCTAATGGTTAGGTTAGGCTAGGTCTTCTCTCTCATCAACAAGTAACACACCCCAGCTGGACACTTCCTCATCCTCAAAGATCCGCTCGTTAAACACTTCCAAGTGGTTAGTTAAACATTTCCCAGTGGTTAACGTTACGATATCGGGATGTTTAGAGCCGATAAGGTTGAAACACAATAACGGAAATAAATGTCTCTTAGTCACTGAGCGTTTGTTAGTGGCTAGGGGATGGCGACGCATAGTGAAACCTCTATTTAACGGACTATATGGAGAGGAAAGTCCGTTATATCAAGGGTCCGTTAAATGCGAAACCTCTCTTTAACAGATTATGTAGAGAGAGAGAAGTGCGTTATATCGAGGGTTAACTTTACGAATCTTTGTGTCGTAGCTTAAGAGGACCCGGGTAGTGAGGAGGACCCGGGTAGTGAGGAGGACCCGGGTAGAGAGGGAGGACCCGGGTAGTGGAGGAGGACCCGGGTAGTGAGGAGGGACCCGGGTAGTGAGGAAGGACCTGGGTAGTGAGGAGGACCCGGGTAGTGAGGGAGGACCCGGGTAGTGAGGAGGACCCGGGTGAGTGGGGGACCCGGGTAGTGAGGGAGGACCCGGGTAGTGAGGAGGACGGGTAGTGAGGAGGACCCGGTGTGAGGAGGACAGGTAGTGAGGACCCAGGTAGTGAGGAGGACCCGGGTGGTGAGGAGGACCCAGGAGTGAGTGAGGACAAGACCTACCCTCTGGTGCGGGGTGTCGGGCATGCGTAGTGTTGAGGCGTCGGACGTGGCATCATAACCTGGGGAGATAAAATGACTCACTTAACACACAGACCACAACACAACTAAAGTGATACAAATGGTTCCTTTATACATAAGCTAACACTCAATAAATAACACAAGTCATTAAAAAATATATATATATATATATATATATATATTATATTATTATATATATATATATATATATATATATATATATATATATATATATATATATATATATATATATATATATATATATATATATATATATATATATATATATATATATATATATATATATATATATAACGATACAAATTGTGTTGAAATATTGATACATTGTGAAATTCGTCGATCACCCCAAGTAGAGAGTCTTTTAGTGCCGTTCAATAAAATTTTTCTTTACAACGCTACACAACAACATTTATAAGTTAAAAGAAATGTCTCCACTTTCAGTCACTCACCTGTGGCGTCCCCAGGGTACCAATATGGGACCACTCTGCTTCCTTATGCTTATCAATGATGCTCTAAGAGAAACCTCTGCTCACTGGAAATATGTCGACGACCTCCACTGGGATCAGTGTCAACACTTGGCTCCGACTACACCGGCCTCCAGGATTATTGAACAGTCTCCAAATTGGGCCACCAACAAACATCACCATCAACCATACCAAGACCATGGTTATGAACATCAACCTCTCCTCCGACATTGTCCCATCTCGCTCCATTACTTTTAGGCCCCAACACACTCCAGGTTGTAGACTCCACTAAGCTCCTCGGCGTCACCATAGACAACAACAAACTAAATTGGAAACCACACGTCAGTGAAGTTGTCAAATCCTCCAGCTGTCTTCATCTCCGCTGACTCAAGTCCTCGGAGTTCCTGCAGCCGAGCTCCTCAGTGTTTACTCAACATTCATACTTCCCAAGCTCACTTATGCCTCCCCACTGGTCTTCCTCCCAAACACCAACGTAAACACCAAGAAAAAACTGCAAAAGACGGCATGCAAGATTATTCTCTCCCCTTCCTACTCCACATATCAAGAAGCGCTCAACACACTGACCCTCTCGGCTCTTTCTGACTATCACAAAGACCTCATCTGCAAATTTGGTGAGAAGCTTCTCCACCATCCTCGACACCACCCGAGATCCCTCACCCGCGAATTCCTGTTTGACACCACAAACGCATCCAGCCCATACGAGCACGAACTGATCGCTATAAGAACAGCCCAGTTCCAAGCATTGTAAAAATAATAATCAATAACTTGTAATCAACCAGTGTATTCACTCCCAGTCAATCTTACATTTTGCACTGTCACTATGTTGAAATGCCCTGTAGTATGAGCTTCTCCCCACCTAGTTATTATATCATATTTGTATCACTTAAGATACTTGTATATTATTGGTCAATCAAGAGATCCATTCACTAATTATGTAACTGTATATTTTCAGCCTTCCGGCCGCCATGCTCTTTCATTAAACCGTTATTATAAATATTTTTATTATTATTATTATTATTATTAATATTATTATTACACACACACACACACTAAGAAAATGTCGAGCTACAGTCTGGTCTCTGGGCAGATTCGGAGCCATTTCCCCTACACGTGTGCCTACAGTTAACTCCACTCCTGCGTTTACCAGTTAGCGTTGCCAAACCTCTCTCAGGTGTGTACACTGAACCTTAAGTGTGACTCCAGCATTAACTAGAAGAGGGGGTGGGAGGTGTCGGGGGAAAACAGGGTACAGTACTAGTAGAGGGGTAGAGGTGTGTCCGGCTGCACAGTACTAGTAGAGGGGAGGGGTGTAAGGGGGTGGTACAGTACTAGTAGAGGGGGAGGGGTGTGTCGGCGGGGTACAAGTACTAGTAGAGGGGAGGTGTGTCGGTGAGGTACAGTACTAGTAGAGGGGAGGGGTGTCGGGGGGTACAGTACTAGTAGAGGGGGGAGGGTGTGTCGGGGTGGTACAGCAATTAGTAGAGGGGGAGGGTGTGTCGGGGGGGTACAGTACTAGTAGAGGGGAGGGTGTGTCGGGGGTGGTACAGTAATAGTAGAGGGGAGGGTGTGTCGGTCCGAGGTACAGTACTAGTAGAGGGGAGGGGTGTGTCGGGGGTACAGTACTAGTAGAGGGGAGGGGTGTGTCGGGGGGTACAGTAATAGTAGAGGGGGGAGAGGTGTCCGGCCTGGGGCACAGCACTAGTAGAGGGAGGGGTGTCGGGGGCCGGGGCACAGTACTAGTAGAGGGGGAGGGGTGTGTCGGGGTGGTACAGTACTAGTACAGGGGAGGGGTGTGTCGGGGGTACAGTACTAGTAGAGGGGGAGGATGTGTCGGGTCAGTACAGTACTAGTAGAGGGGAGGGGTGTGTCGGGGGTGGTACAGTGCATAGTACAGGGAGGGGTGTCGGGGTACAGTACTAGTAGAGGGGAGGGGTGTGTGTGGGCCGGGGCAGTACTAGTGAGGGGAGGGTGTCGGGGGGTACAGTACTAGTAGAGGGGAGGGTGTGTCGGGCCGGGGTACAGTACTAGTAGAGGGGAGGGGTGTAATGGGGGTGGTACAGTACTAGTACAGGAGGGGTGTGTCGGGGGTACAGTACTAGTAGAGGGGAGGATGTCAGTCAGTACAGTACTAGTAGAGGGGGAGAGGTGTGTCAGGCCGGGGTACAGTACTAGTAGAGGGGAGGGGTGTGTCGGGGGTGGTACAGTACTAGTACAGGAGGGGTGTGTCTGGGGCACAGTACTAGTAGAGGGGAGGGGATGTGTCGGGCCGCACAGTACTAGTAGAGGGGTAGAGGTGTGTCGGGATGGGGTACAGTACTAGTAGAGGGGGGAGGGGTGTCGGGGGGTACAGTACTAGTAGAGGGGGAGGGGTGTGTCGGGGTGGTACAGCACTAGTACAGGAGGGTGTGTCAGGGTACAGCACTTAGTAGAGGGGGAGGGATGTGTCGGGCCGGGGTACAGTAATTAGAAGAGGGGAGGGGTGTGTCGGGCCGGGGTACAGTACTAGTAGAGGGGGGAGGGGTGTGTCGGGGAGACGGGGTACAGCACTAGTAGAGGGGGAGGGTGTGTCGGGGTACAGTAATAGTAGAGGGGAGGGGTGTGTCGGGGCAGGGGTACAGTACTAGTAGAGGGGGAGGGGTGTGTCGGGTCGGGGCACAGTACTAGTAGAGGGGGAGGGGTGCGGTCGGGCCGGGGTACAGTACTAGAGGGGAGGGGTGTGGTCGGGGGTACAGTACTATAGAGGGGGAGGGGTGTGTCGGGCAGTACAGTACTAGTAGAGGGGAGGGGTGTGTCGGGGCCGGGGTACAGCACTAGAGAGAGGAGGGGTGTGGGTGGGCCGGGGTACAGTACTAGTAGAGGGGAGGTGTGTCGGGGCACAGTACTAGTAGAGGGGGAGGGGTGTGTCGGGCCGGGGTACAGTACTAGTAGAGGGGAGGGTGTGCGGGGGGGCACAGTACTAGTAGAGGGGAGGGGTGTGTCGGGGGGCCGGGGCACAGTACTAGTAGAGGGGGAGGGGTGTCGGGGGAGACGGCACAGTACTAGTAGAGGAGGGGTGTGTCGGGGAGACGGGGCACAGTACTAGTAGAGGGGAGGGGTGTCGGGTCAGTACAGTACTAGCAGAGGGGGTGGGTGTGTCTGGCCGGGGTACAGTACTAGTAGAGGGGAGGGGTGTGTCGGGGGCGGGGCACAGTACTAGTAGAGGGGAGGGGTGTGTCAGGGGGTACAGTACTAGCAGAGGAGGGTGTGTGTCGGGGCCGGGGTACAGTACTAGTAGAGGGGGAGGGGTGTGTCGGGGCGGGGTAACAGCACTAGTAGAGGGGGGAGGGGTGTGTCGGGTCAAGATACTAGTAGAGGGGGAGGTGTCAGGCCGGGGTACAGTACTAGTAGAGGAGGTGTGTCGGGGTACAGTGCTAGTAGAGGGGAGGGTGTGTCGGGAGGGGACAGTACTAGTAGAGGGGAGGGTGTGTGTCGGGGGAGACGGACAGTACTAGTAGAGGGGGGAGGGGTGTGTCAGAGACGGGGTACAGCACTAGTAGAGGGGAGGGGTGTGTCGGGGGGGTCAGGGCAGTACTAGTAGAGGGGTGGGGTGGCCGGGCCGGGGTACAGTAATTAGTAGAGGGGGAGGGGTGTGTCGGGCCGGGGCACAGTAATAGTAGAGGGGGGAGGGGTGTGTCGGGCGGGGTACAGTACTAGTAGAGGGGGAGGGGTGTCGGGCCGGGGCACAGTACTAGTAGAGGGGGGAGGGGTGTGTGTCGGGCTGGGGTACAGTAATTAGTAGAGGGGGAGGGGTGGCCTGACGGAGTACAGTACTAGTGGAGGAGGGTGTGTGTCGGGCCGGGGTACAGTACTAGTAGAGGGGAGGGGGGTGTGCGGGCTGGGGCAGTACTAGTAGAGGGGGGAGGGGTGTGGGTCGGAGAGTACAGTACTAGTAGAGGGGAGGGGTGTGTCGGGTCAGTACAGTACTAGTAGAGGGAGGGGTGTCGGGGGTACAGCACTAGTAGAGGGGAAGGGTGTGTCGGCTGGGGTACAGTAATTAGTAGAGGGGAGGGGTGTGTCGGCCGGGGCACAGTACTAGTAGAGGGGGAGGGGTGTGTCGGGCCGGGCACAGTACTAGTAGAGGGGGAGGGGTCGCCTGGGGGCACAGTCAATTAGTAGAGGGGGGGGAGGTGTGTCGGGTCGGGGTACAGTACTAGTAGAGGGGAGGGGTGTGTCGGGGGCAGCAGTTAGTAGAGGGGGAGGGGTGTGGGGGGGCACAGGACTAGTAGAGGGGAGGGGTGTCGGGCCGGCACAGTACTAGTAGAGGGGAGGGGTGTGTCACTGGGGTGCACAGCAATTAGTAGAGGGGGAGGGGTGTGTCGGGCCGGGGTACAGTAATAGTAGAGGGAGGAGGGGTGTTTAGGGGCACAGTCAGAGGGGAGGGTCTGGGGCTGGCACAGTACTAGTAGAGGGGAGGGGTGTCGGGCCGGGGTACAGTTCTAGTAGAGGGGAGGGGTGTGTCGGGGGCGGGACAGTACTAGCAGAGGGGGAAGGGTGTG